ATAGCATGGGGTAAAGTCATGAGTATAGGTGAGTAGATAACATGGGGTAGAGTCATGGGTATAGGTGAGTAGATAGCATGGGGTAGAGTCATGGGTATAGGTGAGTAGATAGCATGGGATAGAGTCCTGGGTATAGGTGAGTAGATAGCATAGGGTAGAGTCAGGGGTATAGGTGAGCTGAGTTAAAACCATGCAACCCTGTGTGTAGCAAGGGGGTAGAGTCTTGGGTATATGTGAGTTTAGTTAAAACCATTCATGTCTGCCAAGGGGTATTCAAGTAAAATGTCTGAATCAAATATTTCTCTAGTTCTCCACAATAACCTTTAACCTTGAACAAAAATGATTTTTGACCCGTTCTCTTCCAGGTGCCTTGGAGAAACATGTGGATGTCCTAGATTCCAAGTTCAAGACTAAATTATTAATGAACGTTTATGCTGGAGTCAATAAGAAAAATGTTGATGATTCAGATATGCAAGCATTTTTCAAGTTCAAGATGTGGCTGTAATACCGGTACATGTAGCTAGCTCAGCTTACCTGCATTGTCCAGTCTGTGACTTGTTGCTTTGATAAGATACTTATTTGGCTTGAACAAAAATACACTGGACTGGAATTAATGTGGAGAATAATGAATATTTTGCCACTTCAGTGCACTGTGCTACTTTACTTTCTTTGTTTGGAATATGTGTAGCTTAACTTGTACACAGCTGTGTTTGATTTGAACAGTGGTTTAGATGATTGGCACATCAACACACACAAAAAAAGTTAATAATCTGTGAATAACTGTTGTAAAATTGAAAATGTCATATTTGATCTATTAGAAGCACATTTCTAATATTCTCACACATTTCATTTACTGTATATTGGTTCATTCATTAAGATATGACTTATATTGACCATAGACACACCTCTATAATTGATGTAAGAACATGTACTACTAATAGAGAAAAAAGCAAATACTGTAGTACAATCTATTATGTCTTACAAATGTACTTTTTAAAAGTATCAGTCAGTATCAATAATTCCCCAAACTTGACCTGATTCAATTTTATCTTCATCTGTCTTTATAAGTTGTATACCCAACTTTTATTCAATTTTGTATTTTATACAGTAGATAATTGTAATAATATTACCGGTATTTGCTACATAATTACTTAATGAATATCTGTTTAAAATTTAAATTTAAAATGATAATGCATTCAATATGTACCGGTAATCTGTAATAAAATATAATAATTTGCTAGCCTTTTATTAATATGTATTTCATGTTACAATGTCATTACAATGTTTGCATATACAATATTTTCAATTAAGTGACAAAACAAATCTCTATACACTTTGAATAGTGCAAATATACTTTATATTGTTTAGATCACTCTGACTTTGTATCAATTTCACTGCTTGCTGTGGATCGCTTTTTTTAGCTCCGCTGTCGACTTTGTCGAGGGGGGCTTATCATATGAGTGATTGTCCGTCGTGCGTGTCAATGTTTTATATTTTTGACTTCTTCTTGAAAACTACAAGCCTGAATGCTTTGATGCTTGGTGTATATGTGCCTTGGGTAGACCTCTCTCAGATTTGTTCATTTCATGATGATATCTTCAATTCTCTAATTTTGGTGAATATTTTTGTCATTTTTGGTAAAAAGTGATATTTTCGACTTCTTGTTAAAAACCGTAATTCTAATTGCTTTGATATTAAATACATAGGTACTACATGTGGATCTATCTCAGATTTGTTCATTTTGTAATGACATCTACAATTCTCTAATTTTGGTGAATATTTTTGTCATTTTTGGTAAAAACTGATATTTTTGAATTCTTGTTGAAAACAGCAAGTCCCATTGCATTGATACTATGCATATTGTTCATTTTCTAATGATATTTTCTGTTCTTTAATTGAAAAGTGCATTGCTAACAGCAGAGCTATCTCAGAGAGGCTGCTTGTCTAAGATCTTTTTAGGTTGTTTAGTATTAATTGTTGATAAAGGAATAGAATGTTAAACTTATAAGTGGAATTATTTGAATTCTCATAGGTGTGTATAATAATTTCTCAAATGTATACATTCCATGATTTAGTATTGAAAACCGTCCATATGTGCCTTATTGCCACCAAATTTGTTCTCAGTATATCCGTGCCAATTATTACAACTGCTCTGTAATTGTGTGAGTAACACATTTATTATGATTAAGGGTACATCTTCTGTCCTGTTTATGATTTATAACATACGTGTCAATCACCATAGAAAACATTTTATGTAATATTTTGTATTTTCATATTGTTGCTTTGAGACGCTTTGCTTGATAAATAAATTTACATAACAAAGATATCTGTGCTGTGTGGATTACTTTTATATCTTGTTTATGCAAAGGAAAACCCCTAATTAGTGGAAACATTTGAAAATATTGAAATCCAAGTATTGAAAAAAAATGTCTAGCATAGAAAAGCAGATTCCAAGGTCTGTAACTTATTTGTTCATTCTAACAAAGGTCTTGATCTCAGCTAGGATGTTTAGGAATAAAACGAAAGAATTTCTAATGTTAGGCTTTACAAATTGTATTGGAGGGCAGACATTTATTTTTTACTTTTTCCCCTTAAGGTAGACGCCTAGTCATAATTTTTTTTACAAAATTGGTCAAATCGCAATGACAATGTTCATTAGTTTATTATGTACAAACATGAAATGGCATTATTTTGTGTGTTACAATTTAGCTTTTTGAGAAACGTGTTCTAATATATCTTGAAAATTGCTATTTTTAGAACAATTCCATAGAACACAATGTTGAAGAAAAATTGCATTTTTTAAAGCTTTTTAAAACCCAGATGTCAACAACAAAAATATATGATTTTTTCACCCTATGTAACTTGGCTAGATTTTGAGATATTGGATAATATCTCTGCCATAGGAACCTGTGGTAAAATACAACTCTCCATTTCTCGAAAACAGGCTGGTGACCCCCAACTTTTTTTTAGGTCAATATCCTTATATTGCCTTGGAGTACAGTTTATTGCAAAATGAATAAATTATGAGTAGGCTTCTACCTTAATGTAATGGTTCTCTTCTTAATACAAAATGATCGATTCCGTTTGAAAACGTCGAAAAAAAGTGTAATTTAAATTAAAAATGTTTACTCATATTCACAGCCGGTTAAAAGATGAAAATGCTATCGGACCCTTATCGTAATACAACATTCAAATCTCGGTCAGTGCGTTACTCGCGGGTAATAACCACGTGGTATTCCAGCTGTGACGTCAGATTGTTATTGTCGACAGCTAGGAAGCACTGTCCTGATCAAAAATACACGAATATTTCCTTCGTATTTGGAGATAATTCTTCTGTTGTCTGCATGAATAATACTGGTAAGTCAAAACATGTTAATTCATGAAGAAACTAAATAAATTTTGTACCAAAATATTGTGGAATAGTACCGTTTTCCGTAAATGTTGTGTTCTGTCAGGCTTTATACATGGAGACTGTATCAAATATGCAAAATAGCTTGATCAAGGGCATCCAACAACAAGGTTGTTTTCTGCGTGCGCTCTAAAATGTCCAACTATTTGCCTTTCTATTTGTCGCTCATAAGTTGCTCTCCGAAATTTGATTAACACCTGGCCCAACTTCAAAGACTGGTCTATTTTTATGGAGTTGCACGCGGCGCAACCAGCCGGATTGATTTATTTACCTTTTTTCGATCACAGTATTTCACGTCACGTTTAATCATCATTCTCTACTTGTGAAACCTAACAGTTTTAGTCATTTCTACGATCCTGTCGAAAAAACAGGAACTTGTATCGTATGACATCCAATACACACGGCATACTCCGCTGACATCTTGTCTGTACACATATGATTCATTTGCATAACAACAATAGAACAAGCTGGTAGTACATTGTATTATCATTTACATTTATTACACAGAGGGCGTGTTTCTACACATTTGTTTATTCAACAAATTTAGTCTGTACATGCATCCTTTTATTGCCAGAATGTTTAATTAAATGATTAGCCTGCATGTTTGCCTGAAACATTTTCGGCTGTATTTACTGCTAACTACTTGTCTCAATAGTGGTCAGTTTGTAGATCAATTACAATTCTTTGGATTCCCAATGTATGATATATTTTAAGGTCTGTGCTTTTAACTAGTGATGTCTTGTTTCTCATCAAATCTTTTTTCTTACCCAATTGTAATTTTCATCTTCTTCCTGGGTTGTTAACTAAGTTATTAGTCATGGTCTAGCTGGCAGTGAAGATTGTGTGTCATGTTAATTCAGGGAACTATAATGATAGCTCCCTGGTTAAATATGGGTCCCCTGTGACATAGATATTGCATGTGAAATGTTTCTGTTTCTTTGTATAAAAATTGAACATGTGGTCGGTCACCCATGGTTACTAGAAGAACGGTTAGGAAACTCAATTCTTTAGTTAGAATGCATGTGTTGGTAAACATTTTAAACAAAAATAAAATTACATATTTGTTCGAAGACGATTTCATCCATTGGAGTTTCTGTAATTTTTTTTTCAAACAAATCTTTTCGGTTTTTATAGCATTGTCATGATTTGGTATGAATAATAACACTGAAATATAAAAAAAATATATATATATATTCAGATTAAAACTGCACTATGAAACCAAACAACTTCCTGTGTCACTTACACTGACAGTGGTCAAAAAACAATATGATGGCTGACATGGCTTTTTGGGTGAAAAAGTCTGCAAACTTTGAGAAAATAGAACTAAGATAGTTTGAACTATCATAGTTCTGTCATAGAAGACTCTAATTCAATGTACACACTTGTGAAACGTTCAGAGATGCATTTTTGGGATACAAAATTGTTGGACATCAGCAGACGCAGACTTATGATCGCCCTACTGAAACGATAAAAATATTCTACAACAACTTAGTATTTAACTTACAGAAATTATAACAATGTAAACTATAAATACTAATTTAACAATGCGTTGTACTAAAATATAATTTCCATCCGATTTTTCAACAATTTTCCCGAACTATTATGACAAAGGCAAACAAATTGGTTGAAGTTGCTAACCTAAACAAAACAAGCGTTATTTTCTAAAGTTATGATTGTAGTTTTGATAATCGCAGTTCTATATTAAATTACCCAAACAATAAGGAATACTAACATTTTAGAACATTCACAGACAGAGTTTTTGGGGAACAAAATGCCATGGTCAATTTTGATTCACAGACTTTTAACAAAACAATCTGTATTTTCATTTTTTTGAGAACAACGAAACCTTGAATATCACACAACATTCGCACAAAAGTAGGTGATGTTTCTATGTTGATCTTTTGGCTAATTTGTTCTATTTCTTCAATTTAGTGGACACACATGGAAAGCGAATGAAGATAGCAATATAAGCGATGACATCATAGTAATTGGACACATATCAAAGTAAAGTCAGTGGATAACTAGCATATCTAACAATAGAGTTTCCTAACCATTCTAGTAACCGTGGGTCATCATAGC